GGGGGTGGGATTTATATAATATAACCCCATCCCACCCCGTTTTTCCGCGGCTATTCATAAAAAGATACAATACTTTGTTATTGCTGTTTTTCAGGCGAGCGTCCCAAGCTTACAGGTGTTAGCTTCAGTGCTTACTATAGTAGTACTACGCATGAGAAAGAGTGCTGCCCACTGATGTTCGGTGCAAGAATGCTGCGGGTGGCCCATCCAATTTTTAGGAAAGCAACTCGGAGAAGGATGACTTGGAGGGAGGCACTTTTGAATTGCGAAATTGAATTGCTCTTCTTGTGTATTAAACACAATTTTTCTAATAGTGACTAGACATTAGTTTTTATAAGTGAGTAGGGTCACACAAACCATTATTAGCTGCGAACTTAAGTGTACTGGTTTTTTGTTCAATAACTGTCGGGAAATATGTTACTGGATCGGTAGCTATATTCCCAGAGTTATTTGTTACAGACTGGAAGGAAAACAGTACAAAGGGGACCTCCCTCGTGCTCCAGCACGTAGTACGGCTATGTCTTCGTCCGACACCTCATTCTGCAATCTGCTCGCACTCTCTCATTTCGACTCAAGTGCCCGAGCTGTTGACCCAAACGACAAAAAAATGCGCCTCACATGCATCCTTGCAGTGCTAGTCGCGGTCACTTTCCACGCCACTGGTAATGCCAATTCTGCGGTTGCGGGCAAGGCTTCGAATGAAAATGGTGTTGACATGATCACCACGACCGACGTGCATGACCCGCGTTTACTGCGTCGTGTCGGAAACGACGAAGGCGAGATCGTGGAAGAGAGAACCAAAGGCTTCAAAGAAAAATTGAAAGCTGTAGTGGAAAAAATCACGCCCAAGAAAAGCTTGGACAAACTCAAGGAGACTGTCGTAACAACACTCGATTGGGTGAAGATTGTAAAGCACAAGACCGATGAGGCAAAGCGACTGGGTTTCAAATAGAGCAAAATCAACTCGTGGTGGGACACCGACTGGCTGGTACGTTTGGTGCCAGGTAACCAAGTGTGAAGGAAAAGAGTGTCAAGGCTCGACCTGCAGTGTGATGTGGTGCGGTTAACCAGCTAATAGCGCAAACATTGATGCGAGCTAGCTTTCTTTACATTTCTTGCTTCGTTTTTATCGTAGGATTGAGGGGTCACTGCATTGTGTGTTATATGACGGATAGTTCAAGAAGTTGCGCGGTGCATGAAGAAGCTCTGAAATTTGATTGTGGTTTAATTTAATCAACCACTGTCTGAAATGGAAGTAGTATACATTGTTTACTGTTTGTGGTCGTTTAAAACATGTTATTTTTAAAAAGAGAATCATTAGCGCTATCTATCTCGCCCGTAGTAATTGTCCTTCTTCATTTAAGTTTCTGCGTAAACCCTGTTTAAACTTCATATGCGAATCGCACACTGCGCGGTGTGTCGTTAAAAAGGATGTGTCCATAGACGAAAACGAGCAAGGACCGGATATTCTATTTCTTGCACGCACATGCTGTAAATAAAAGCGAAACTACAGTATAAAGAAGAAGAAATACTACCTCTACTCGGAAAAATAAATCACCTTTCCAAAACTATTTCGCATCGCTCCGCCTCCTCTTTTTCATGATTGTAAAGTTTGCAGAGGGCTGCTGATCCTTCTGTAAAACAGGTGCATGCCCAGTGGGTACTGTGATACCAACCTTGCTTTGCCAAACAAGACTGCATTCAAAGAGCTTTGACCTTTAAAACGATAATAGAACCGGACTTTGTTGAGAATTTAGTATGCTCTACAAGTTGAAGCAGCACTCGCATTGGAGCAGCCTCCCACAGGAGGGACCCGGCAAGTGTCCCGTGAGTGAAGGTCGCTGGGGTTTCTCACGTTGTATTTACATTTAGTTAGCTCAGTCTCCATTTTGCAGGATAAGAAACACGTTAGTGTCGAGAGAGCTGAAGGCTAAGTAGTCAATAGGAATTCGTGTGTGCATTACATTGGATTATTAGCTTACGTCGAGAAGTCTCTGCATACGCGTAACAGGGTTATGAGCCCAAGCTATCAGTAAGGATAGTTGTGAGCACTCTGAAGATCCCCAGATGTCAAACATGGTTGAACTCAACAAGAACGGACGCCCTATTGGTTTGGCATGGCCAATGCTGGGTGTACTACAAGCAAATGATGGAGATCGCGTTCGATGACAAGAACGTTCTCGAGTACGCGAGTGGAACCAAGACGTTGGCTTCCAACGCGACGGACGAAGAGAAGTCGAAGTTCAAGGAGGGCCAAGTCAAGGTGAAGCAGATCATTATGTCCTCGCTGTCGATGGAGCTCGGACAGCAGGTCATGATGAAGAAGACCGGTACAGAAATGTGGAAGTACTTGATGGATACGTACGAGGGTACGACGAACGCAGCGACCCGTACGAACCAAGAGATCATTCTGTACAACAAGCTTCAAGCTGCTAAATGTAAGCCGAACTGGGACGCTCGTCTACATGTTAACAATATGTTCCTGATAAAGGAGCAGCTTGCTGCTATCAATGCTGATGTAAGAGATCCGATCTTCATAAACTTGTTGATTCGGTCTTTACCGGCAAACCCACGATTTGATCGCCTGAGAGGAATGGTCGAAATCGGAACCAGTGAGGTGGATACTCCTGAGAAACTCAAGGACCAGATACTGCGAATGGACACAACAAGTGTGATAAAGAGCTTGGAGCTACTGGTGGCAATGGTGCGCACAACCAAGGGCAAGGACAAGGTCAAAGAGCAGGACAAAATCAAAAGCAGAGTTCTGGCATCAGTACGAAGACTGAGTTACCAGAAAAGGCGGCTGCTATCGCGACCAAGAAGTTGGATCAGCAGCAGAGCAACTGCTTCAGATGCCATCAGCAAGGTCATCAGCAAAAGAATTGCCCGAAGAAGTCGCTGACGTCTACAAATGCGCCGAAGGTTAGACAAGCCACATACACTAAGCGTCTCGAGAAAAGCGAGAACCCCAAACAGTCGGTGGCTCCTGTAGTGCCTGAGCAAACTTTGCAAGTTTTGGCTCCGGACACTTCTGTGGTGCCTGTTCCTGTGACGACAGCTACACCAGACATAGCGACCCCCACTAACCACGGACGGCATGGTAATACTCCTAGAGGTAGTGATCAGCGTGATCACTGTGCTGAGGAATATGCTAATTGGGAGTGGTGCCTGGACAACGCAGCAAATGTCCATGTAGCATCGGACCAACGCTACTTTACGGAATACAAGCCATTCTCGGACCAAGAAGCAGACAGAGTACGCGGATTCCAGAAGA